AGAATTAAATTTACTCCATTTACTTGAGTTTAACAAGTGCTCTTTGGAGATCTCTTTGCAGTTTGACCCATCTTGCTGAGTGTTCTTCCCAAAATTTCCACTAAACTTCAGAGGGAGAGAGACAAAAATTACCTTGAAAGTTTCCATTTCACTAACAAGATCAATGAGTTCTTTCTCATGCGCTGACGATTTTAGCTTCTTCACAGCAACGGGGATACCCTGAAATAATGATTGAAGCAAATTTCTGTATTAATTAGATTAGTTGCAAATGAAACATACTTCTGGAGGGATGGTAGTATCGCTCCGATCTGGTTTAAGATTAGCTCGCCATACTTCACCAAATGCACCTTCTCCAAGTATATCTACCAGTTCAAGCCTGTGAATAAATGTATCACAGATCACAGTGTAGGCGAGATCCTAAGAAGCTGAAGAAATGTACCGAGATCGCTCGATTTCCCATTGAGGGTCGGGATCAATCTCATAATCCGAAAGCAAAGTGAGGTCGGAACTGAGACGAGGTCGCCGTCCTTTTGACGTTGAGGCTTGTTCAACAATCTTTGTTACTTTGGATAAGTAAACGTTCACAATTCAACTCACATAAAATAAAATTATACCTGTATTTGATATGTGGAGGGTAGATCCGAGCATCCTTCTTTTTCGTCCGGATACGGTTTGTGGGTCACGACTACCTACATAACCACTCTCTCTATTTTCACAGTAATACAGTAATTTTTTTTGAAAAACGCACTTTTTTCTTCTTCGGCATTAATCCAACGCGATCCTCCAAGTCTCTCCTTTTTTTAGTGATACGAAAGCAGATGTAGTATGCCACACAAAGACTGAGCATCAGCGAGAGGAGCATTACAATAAGAAGTAGCAAGACTAGAAATATTTAAACAATCGCACAAATTTTCAAACGTAGTCTAAAAATTAAGTAATCAGTATTTCTCAAACATTTTCCTCAAGAAATGGTCTTATCATAGCCTTACTCTATACTTTTTACCTTTTCTTACATAGTAAACCTAAGTGTACGTAGTCAAACAATCGACTAATTACGCTGTTTCTTTTCGTTCCACATTCCGATGCGCACAAAATACATTTTCAAACTTTTTGTGCTAAAAGTGACCTTGAGATGCTACTTAATAATCAATTCTTGCCATCATTTTTAGGGAGTCAAGCGAAATGCAAGTAAAATTAAGGTGATTTGTTTAAGAAAGTGCATAACAGTAAGCAACAATCTATGATTAAAAAGGATGAGCTAACAAATGAAAAACTTTGCTAGTAAGAAAAAGCTAATGAATGTAGGTAATGCTTACGTATGCTCCAAGTGGAATACTCTGGTTCAGGATTTCCCGTGAGCAAAACCATCCCAAGAAACTCATTCACTGTCAAGGTTGCATTGGCAAGAACCTGAAGTGTTAAAGTAAACTGGCGTATTTGAAATTTCTACAAGGTCAACAAAGAGAGAGATATATAACAGCAATATTAAAATTCAGTGACGAAAAAGAGATTTTTAGAGCAATTTTCTGAGCTAACTTCTTTAAGAAGGAAAATTCTTACTGGCCTTCGTAGACTAGATATCTATACAGGAATTATAAAAGCTGTTGGAAAAAATCAGACTAAAATAACTGGAGCAGCTCACACTGAATGTTACATTGCTCATAAATCTTTGAACATGAACGAATAAA